TATATTTATATTTATATTTATATTTATATTTATATTTATATATATATATATATATATATATATGGATGATATTCCATAAACTGAAAGACATTCACTTTGGCAAAGTGAATTAGCCTAGACCTCAGAACTGTTTTCATGGGTGCCGCAAGAGCTCAATTGTCCTTCCTTCAGCAGAGAATCTCTGGAATTAGGGCTAGATCAGCCATGGCCTGTAAACGAGAGCAACTGAGCTAGGCACCCAGCCAAAGCTTGTCGCCAGCTGATAGGTAGCCAGGCAAGGCAGTGATTGATATCATGGCTTCTCTCAGCATTGGAGGGTTTGCACAAAGGAAAGATAGCAAGTCTTTGTCAATGAGTTAGTGGGAAGATTCAATTTCACATCCCAGCAGTCTTGCACAGCCCCAAACAGACACTTTCATCTCCCTGATAGCTCCCACGGGAAAAGAATGGGCACCGCATCCCAGCCCAGCTTCAGAGTTTGCTGGGGCTGAGCAGTGCCTGTTCAACAAACTCTACCTCTCCTTCCAAAAATTCACCTGTTCTGGATAGGAAGAAAGATATTAGCACTGAGTGAGTTTACTCAAAAGAAGACGCATGCATAATTTGTCATTTTTTTTAGCACTGTATGCTTAATTTAGGATGTTTGCAATGCTAGAGGAAGCTTTGCATAGGATTTGGATTTTTTTTGAGGACCCAAAACTGCCTTTTTGGTATAAATGCTTTTGAGGAAAGTGTTTACATGTTGATACTCAGTAAACAGCAGATCTGTTTTAACTTGGACTTGTAACACAAGTCTTGTGTTTCTGCCTCTCAGTAGCCTGACAATTATCTGCACCACATTTTAATCCATCCCTATTCCCTATACCTTTTTCTCTTCTTATTAGTCCATTTATAAAGCAGTGTTTTTTTAAAATTAACTTTATCAAGAAAGAAGCATTCAAGAAGTATCATTTTTTAAAATCTTTCTGTGTCATAAGAACTACAGAGCATGCACATCCTTGTCTTTTATTGGTCTATGTAAGTTATCTAAGCAGACAGACATCTTATTTTTCTGGAGATGTGAGGCCTGAATCAACAAATTTTTAGCTAGGAGGAAATTTCAGCAACTTGTGCTCTCCTAGAATCTGATTGCAGAAAACGTCCTCTTCATTACAGAATAACTCTGCTTTTGTGGCTGCTCTTCTGCTTCCCAAATCTGCATGCTGCACTCCATGATTTTGTGGGTAGCCGGTCTCAAATGTTACCAGGCCTGCACATTTCTGTAATGGAGATTCAGAGCCTTTTATGCTGCCAAGTTTCACTTACAAGGTGTAAAATTTACTAGACTGAAATGGAAGAAAGAAAACCTGCTATTTTAAAAGATTAACATGTGTTTTTCTTATTAGAACCCTGTACATTTTCAACAGTGAATACTTCTGTCCTTTTGAAGAACTGCAAATAAGAGGGTTTGCATTAAACTGCAAGGAATCACCCTGCTGTGTGAAATTGTGAACTTCTTTCACCTTCATTCCTATAAATTTAATTGTTGTTCAGCTCCATTTTCCTGCCACTTTGCTCATTCTCTAAGGACCTGGCTGCCTTGGGTTTGGTTGTTTTTATTGTATGCTTTCAGGACCTATAATTCCCTGACCCTCCTTCCTCCCTGATATGGCTTAAATGGCCCTCCCATAAGAAATGCCCTGATTCTCTTGGTCTTGTGCAACCCACAAGGGTCCCATTGAGGCTCTCATAGTGGACAAAGTTCTATAGCTGCAGAGGTAACCCTGCCCCATCTGCTTTCAACATGTTGTACTTGACATTAACTAATGTCTCCTATTAGCACTGAAAGAAACAAATCTGGAAAAATGTATTTTCAAGCCGAGTTCAAACAGGCCACAAAGAGCAGTAGATTTTCAGCTGTGTGTGCAAAATCTTTATATATATATAAAGTATGTGTATACACACACACGCACACACACACACAGAGTATATCTGGGTATGAGTGCCTGTTTGTCTGTGAAAGCCAATAATTTGAGGAACAGGTCAAGGGTACAAAAGTCATGCACAAATCCTCTGATTTACTGACTGGCAACATGAAAAGAAGAAAGAAACTCAGACTGATTCAGCAGAGATAATATAGAGCAAACAAGAAAGAAACAAGCAGAAAAGTGAGGTGAGAAATGAATGAACATGTTGAGGAATGTATGTACCTAGTAAGAGTGAAAAGAAGAGAGAATTCTGGCTGGAAATGACAGAAATAAGTTGATGAAGATACAGTATGTGAATAAGGTTGCTACCATGCTATGTTCCTCTATTTGTAGATGAAAAATGCTGCCTTGAAGTAACTCCTACAAAATAAGCAATTATGGATAAACAGTGTTTGGTTGTATATATACAAGAATGTAAAATATAAGAAAGGCCATGTGTCTGTTACATTACACAGAGGGTTGTTAGTGCAAGTTCAGAAGATACAGAACATTGTATCATCCACCTACCGGCAATGGGTTGAAGTTCTGGTCTACAAGGTGGTTGTGCCCATGGTCAAAAAATGAGTGTCTCATTACCACATCGATGCCCTGGCTCGCTAGCATTCCAAGAGAGTTTAGCCACCTAGTAATTTAAAAGGCGATCGATTAGCTTTTAACCAAGAATAGCAGGATAGTTTTCTTCAATCTAGGTTGTGCCTTAATTCCATATATCAGAGCTGTCTTGTCTAACTGATACCTCACAGTTCACCATAGCGGTCAGTGATTTGTGATGACTGGAATTGTATTCCAAAAGGTTTGGAGGCCACTAGTTTGGGGGAAGATGTCCCTGGTGCATTCTCTTCTTTTGAAAGATATTAACTTGCCATCCAAATAAGATATGTTCATGAATTAATTATTCTACTACTTCACTGAGAATTAAGCCAGTCAGATCAAATCAGCTGGGAAGAGATTATAGGGGAAGGTGTCTTTCAAGAACTAGCTCTGTGACGTATAGTGTTTTATAGGTAATCAGTGTGGCTCATAGGCACTGCCTACACCGCTGTGTTCTGGATCAGTTTGAAGCTTCTGGGTAGTCTTCAAGGACATGTTATAGTAATCAAGTCACGAAGTGATCAGGGTATAAATGACTGTTTGAAGGACCTCCTAATTTTAGAAAGGGCACAATTGGTACAGCAGATAAAGCTGTACAGAGGCCTTCTTAGCCACAGTGGCTACCTGCTCATTGAGCAGATATTAAAATTGCTCGTAACTTCAAATCCTCATCAAGATGCACTGTTGTGGTGGTGGGGCTCATCACATCTATGAGGACTCCACATTCATCTTGAATATCTCATTAAAATTAAGGGAGAATCATCTCTGTCTCTTTCTTGTCTAGTTTATAGCCGTATACCTTAACAATAGAAATTCAATTTCCCTCAATATTTCACTCAGTTCTTATAATTATTCCATGGACAATTTATGCAAGTTCTCCTGGGATATTTTCACATAAATCTCCAACTTTTTCCTGTAGAATCTTGGTAATATCATATCCACCTCCATGCAGAATTGCTGCCAAGACACACTTTCAATCACCCGGCTGTCTAAATTCAAAAAGATTTAAGTTTTATTCATAATAGATAAATAATGGATTGTCTTGGGTGGGGGAGGGGGAAAGCAGATCTGTTAGAATGTTTTTATTAAGTGTACCTCTGTGTGTGTGTGTCTGTGTATCTGTGTGAACAAATGGAAGATAATGAAAATATTTGTAGAAATATATTTCACTCTTAGTGTTGAGTTTTTTCCTGTCATAAATTGCTAAAAACATGCTACATTGTGCACAGTAGCAATATATATGATCTGATTATGCTGGGTTTCAAGTCCAAAAAGTTCCCATAATTAAACTCTGAAATATGCCTTTTTTGGAAAAGATCTTGAGTACCTCTTAATTAGAGGCTTCTATGGTGACTGCTAACTCTATTACTCACTGGGTCCTTGAACAATACCATCTTTTGGAACCATGATTTCTTTTCATTCTCTTTTTATCTTTTCATAGGAATAGCTTCATAACAGCTCTTTTTAATGGCCAAAATAAGAAAGTAGTCCAAATCACTTTTCTAGTTGAAATCTATACATCCAAGTCACTCTTCTGATTTACTATTTGTGCATCCATTTTAGAAATTAAAATATCAGCTGGTTTCATTTATAAGTCCTGTATAACTTCTTTATCAATATCACTCCTGTCAATTTTAAATCTATATCTAAAACAGCCTGATTGTTATACAGGTAGTCCTCGAGTTATGACTATTTGTTAACAACAATTCAAAGTTATTGTGGTGTTAAAAAGTGACTTACAATGAGTCCTTACACTTACAACTATCACAGTGTTCCTGTGATCATGTATTTAAAATTCAGGGGCTTGGTAAGTGGCATATATTTATGAGGGTTGCAACAACCTGAGGTTATGTGATCCTTGTTTGCTATCCATGGTGCTTCCCAAAAGTAAAATCAATGGGGGAAGTGGATTTATTTAAGGTCTGTGGCAAAAATGTTGTAAAATCGGCCGCAACTCATTTAATGACCATTTTTCTTAGTGATGGTAGTTCTGTTCCTAATTGTGGTCATAAGTTGAAGATTAGTTCTAGTAAATGATATTCTTAAGAGAAAGTTCTGAGTACATTGCTGTCACATATCCTTGAATTCTTCCCGAGTTAAAATATACTTTTCTCATTTTTCAACTCTTCTTTAGTACTTTTCTTCAGTTTTAATACTATAAAAATAGCAATAACACTTATACTTATATACCACTTTATAGTGCTTTATAGCCCTCTCTAAGCAGTTTACAGAGTCAGCATATTGCCCCCAACAATCTGGGTCCTCATTTTACCTACCTCGAAAGGATGGAAGGCTGAGTCAACCTTGAGCCTGGTGAGATTTGAACTGCCACATTGCAGGCAGCCGATAGTCAGTAGAAGTGGCCTGCAGTACAGTACTCTAACCACTGTGCCACCAATAGCCTATCACTTTCTCTATAATCATTATAAAAGATAAATGTGTACTATAAATAAATAAATAAATGCATAATGTGATTTGTTTTCACACTTGTGTAAATAAGATGTAAATTCCCATGGAATAAATTAAAACACAATTTGTAATCAAATAGTAATGGTTTAAGGCAGGGGTATCAAACTCAAGGCCCGCAGGCCGGATCTGACCCACAAGGTATTTAAATCTGGCCTGTGGGGCTGGCCTGAAACAGCAAAGGACCGGCCCAATGTGCCTCTGGCAGCCAAAACAAGGCATGGGGGGCGTGTGTGCCCCCCTCCCGCACCCCGTTTTGGCCAGTAGGTACTGCAGGAGGCTGTCCAGACCAAAAACAGGCCACAGAGGTGTGCGCATGGCCCTCCCGCAGCCCATTTTGGCTGGCAGGGTAGTGTAGGAGGCGTCCATCTTGCCTCCACCCCCACCCCGGCAGGAGAAGTACAACGCTGATCTGGCCCTCGAAGAAATCCAGGTTGATACCCCTGGTTTAAGGAATCTTATCAGCAGTCTTCAACCATTAAGCTTACTTTATTTCCATCTGCTTTTTTTCCTCAAGAAAAGCTTGAGGCCACCTCATTTTCTTCTGGGTAAAGATTCTTATCTCCAGTGGGAAAAGGAAGAACAGTGGAAGGGAAGTTGCCTAGCACAATTTTTAGCTTGGAATGCTAAGTCAGACAAAACATGTTGATCTCCTGCTGTCAGTGTATATAAGCAAACTCTTTTTTTAAGAAAGCGGACCCCTATACCAATTTCTGATGATTAACCTGGTTTGACCATGTGGATCTCCATGGAGCACCTTCTATGAACTTAATAACTTGAACTTTCCCATGTGATTTCCTTGTTTTATTTTGATAAATGAGTTGAAAAGTTACCAGGATTATTCTTTCCACCACCACCTGGATGACCTATAACCTATGTCATCACTTTCTCATACACCATGAGGAAAAATACTAATTTTAAAAATGGATTTTAATGACATCTACTACAAAGTGATCAGAGTTTCCAAGGGACTTATGCTAAAATATGAAATTTTCATAACATAAAAATGAAATAAAATCATTAACTTAAAGCAAAGACAAATGGAAGAGAAAGAGAGGGGGGAAAGGAAACTTAAAACTAATTAGCACTGTGCACAAACTGCTGAAAAAAGAAAGATGGGTACACTTGTGCTTAAAGTATAAATAAATCAGCTATTATAATATGTTAAAGAATTCTGGAAGGAACAATATTCTTTTCCATTCCTTAGGTTATCTTAATCACTTTTCTGGCATCTGAAAATTCAACAGATATTACTTCTTATCTACTGTTACCTGTGGATTCATGTCCTTTTGTTATGGCACTAGTTGTTTCACTAACCATTTTTAAGCAAAGTGTCCTCAGAATATTTCCTCATTCTTATTTCCATATAAGAAGTAAGAAAATAAAGCTGAAACAAAAAGGAATTCTGTTGTGGATAAAACTTTTGATTTTTCAAAATCCTTTAGAGCCAGTTTGGTCTAGTGGTTAAGGCACCAGGCTAGGAAGCAGGAGACTATATTCAAGTCCCATCTGAGCCATGAAAAACCCATTGGGTGATTTTAGGACAGTTGCTCTCTCTCAACTCAACTCACCTATCAGGGTAGTTGTTGTGGAGAAAATAGGAGGAGGAAGGTGTAATGGATATGTTCACTGCCTTGAGTTCTTTGTAAAAATAATAAAGTCACACTATAAATAAATAAAAAATATTTTAATCTCGAAGGAATTTAGTAATAACAGGTAAAGCTTAACAGTTGTGGTCAGAACCAAAAGGTTTTTGCTAATACCATTTTTGGTCCTTTTCTAATACTTTCTATACCCTTCTCTTCCCTTTGCCCCTTCCTTCCCTTCTCTTCGAAAGCCCCCATAACAGATTGAGTCAGATAATTCTTGTAAAAATTCTCTGGTGGTCATAGGTCCATTGGCTGCACAGTGGTATGATAAAGCATTAGGGCTAATTAAAAGTTCCCTTTCTTATCTGCTTACAGTATGTCCAGCTTATACATAGATAAAAGTGCAGAAGCTACTACTTTAAGGTGCTAGGTATTGCTACCTTAAAGCAATAGCTTCTCCACTTTTATTTATATGTTATTACTAACTGCCTTTATATGTCATCTCCCACTGAAGCAGAAAAATGGCTGGTTAAAGTCTAATAATCATTAATCCAATGATAGTACAGTATCCTTGATTTTAGAGTTGGGATTAGGTTGTCTTATAGACAATAAAAAAGCCAGTAAATCATTTTGTGCACTTACTGGTTTTCTTATAAACATATCACTACTCCATCCTTAGATTAACTTACAGGAAGCTGGCAGCATAGGAATCTGAAAGATTAGTGATGCCTCCTTCAGAAGCAGCCCCGATACCCTCTAACCAAATCCTTTTTCCAGGCATGTGTGCATTGACCACCTGTTGCCAAAAAAAGAAGGGGAAAGCAAAAGTGGTGGTAAGAACATAAGAATAGCCCTATTGTTCAACAATTGTCTATATCTGGTAACTTTAAAACATGTATTATCACAGGCTAGCATAAATAATACTGATTTTTATAGTGACTAGTAGGGCTGAAATAATGAGGAAAACAAAAATAAGTCGATGGAAAATATATTAATCTGAACAAAACTTTATTTTAGTTTCTTCTACTTCTTTTATGGGCATTGATCTTGGTTTCCTGGAACATATCACTCTTTGTTGACTTCCTATTTGTTTACCTCATTGTGAGCTCTCTTAGTTTTGTTGTATATGCACTATCCTTCAGTGATTCCTTTCAGTTTGTTTGTGGTGTCTCACGTGAAATAGCAGACAGCAGGCTAATCAATAAAATACTTCACTCTTGCAAAATGAAATTGCCCGTGCCTTCAAAGCCTCATTTCTTTATGAAAACAGAAATTACTCACACAATGTAAGATATTTCCATTATCCAGATCAGACCTTTATGTAAGGAAATATTTTTTTTACTTATACTGTAATTTTGCTTTCCGAGACATATATCACAGTAGGCTGCCCTACCATATGGCAACACCATTAACTTTTCTTCTTCCCACTTATAGCAGAACTTGGTATAAGATCTCATTCTCAGCTTTTAAAATGAGTACAAATTGACCTCATTCTCAGGTTTTAAAAAGTTAGTATTTTTAAATTTTCCACAATGGTATTTTTTTCACATATATACATTTTGTAGTTTGACTACTGCTTGGTGCTGCTTAGTTTTGAATAGTTTTATATACAGATAGTCCTCAACTTACAACCACAATTGAGCCCCAAATTTATGTTGTTAAGCGAGACATTTATTACATGAATTTTGTCCCATTTTATGACCTGTCTTGACACAGTTGTTAAGTGAATGTAGTTGTTAAGTTAATAACACGTTAAGTAAATCTGGCTTCCCCATTGACTATGCTTGTGAGAAGGTCACAAAAGTTGATCATATGACCCCAGGACATTGCAACCGTCATAAATATGAATCATCTGAATTTTGATCACATGACCATCAAGACCTTGCAATGGTCATAAGTGTGCAAAATAATCATAAGTCACTTTTTCAGTGGCACTGTAACTTTGAACAGTCACTAAACAAAAGTTGAGGACTACTTGTAATTTAAAATGTACATCATATATATATATATATATATATATGGAATTCGGCTTTGCTCGGGTATTTTCCCACGTCATAGTAGTT